GTGTGTGTATGCATTTGGCTAATGTATACACACCTCGTGTGTGTTTGTGTGTGTGTGTGTGTGTGTGTGTGTGTGTGTGTGTGTGTGTGTGTGTGTGTGTGTGTGTGTGTGTGTGTGCCCGCGCTTCAGTTAGCATTTTACGGCACGTGCAAAACAATAAGGTCATTCAAGAGCCGAAGTTTAAACAAGTTGCAAAAGAATTCATTTCTTCCATAGACCAGAGTAGCAAGTATGAGTATATTATTACCTTATCCGCTGCAAACGGCACGCTATAGGAACGGTGTCACGAGACACAAAATACCGCAGGATCAGCAGACCAAGACGATCTTTGCTTGTCTCTGTCTGCTCTCTGTGTTGCGACTTGGATCTCCCGAAAGAGTAGTGGAAATGTTTTCAACCGGTCGTCCCTCGCTTGCTACCAAAGTAGATTATTAAGTTTTTGTATGAACTCTTTATTTATACGTGAACTACAAAATGTTCGCAATCGATTAATGAGCTCGACTGTGACACTCTTGTAACACCTCTAATAATTAAAGGTTTAACAAATTCTTGAAGCAGTAACTCTGACAGGATGATTATCAAGGCAGCACACAATAGGACTACATAATAATATAATAATGATAATAATAATAAAAATAATAATAATAATAATAATAATAATAATAATAATAATAATAATAATAATAATAATAATGATAAGCGGAAGAAGAAGAAGAAGAAGAAGAAGAAGAAGAAGAAGAAGAAGAAAAAGAAGAAGTAGAAGAAGAAGAAAAGATTACATTTATATAGCGCTCTATCCCATGCAAGTATAAGCTCTGGGCGCTTTACACCAATCACATAATCACTGAATAGTAATTCTTCATTCACACAGGATAGAATATTTCACAGTTACAAGAAAAAACCAGTTTAACCACATAAAGAAGAACTGATAAAGTGAAGAATATATTATCACTTCCTTTCACCAGTCCTCAACATCACCACTGAGGTATGACAACCTAGACACCACGACAGCAGCAGCATGGAAATACAATATGTACATGAATGCTCTTAGAGCTTATCCAGAGGGTTGCTTTTCTCGTTAAGGACGAAATTGACTCAGTCTTATGTCCAGTCAGCCACAGACCAAAGGCAACGTTGTGGCCCGTTATACCCCAAAACAGAAGCACCAATTTCTGCATAATATTTGTAATGCATTGTGGTGAAATCAGGCACTCGTCAAAATAATGAAATCGATTATATCGGCATTTTTCCGCCGGGTTTTGTATTACATTTTTGTTGTTTTCTCAACACCTTTACTGCCCGTTTCAAAAAACACATTTCTGTGTGGATTTTTTAAAAACTGAAAAATGTTGATTAAAGGTGCCTTTTTTTTTTTTTTTTTTCGAAAGCAAGGCAAACGAACAAACTTTAAGTTGTGCTGACCATTAACTCCACATGCCCCAAAATTGACGAGCGCCTGATTCCATTGTTTTGTGGCCCATTTCATTGTATGCAATTTTTGTCTGCCTTTTAAAGCTACAGAATTTTAAAAAATCAGTTGAAAAATATGCATGAACAACGATGCTCCTATTTTCTAAGTGCCCCAAAAACAGCGCGAGTTCAAGAGTTGTCGAATGATCAGAATCTAGTTTAGACATACATATGTGAGGCGTGCTGACAAAATGAGTTACTTCTTGCACTCCAAGATTGGAGATATAGGCCGAAAATCAACACTAGAGTCAGATTTATACAATTTCAATTGATCCTATTTTGTTCAAGTCTACCGTGTCTTTTATTATTTTGGACTTACAAGTTTGTACCAACACCGCCCATAAAGTTTATGTATCAATTTCCATACGGCTAAAATCCGACAAGTAACTCATTTTGTCAGCACACCTCACATATACATCTAAGTCATGCTAATGTCAAAATCAATTGCAAAAGACAAATTTACTGAAAAAATTGTAATAAATACGAGTAATATGCCTATTCTTCCAAGTGCTACTAGCAGGCAGGAATCATCAAGACCAACACGTACATAATTCAACATGATACAAGGTGTAACATTCAATCACAACAACCGATTCTTGGGGTGCACAGGGCAGGAATGACAAATTTACACATCCTTTCTAGGATGTGTATTCCATTACTCAATTAATCATGATATCAGCTGGCATCAAGTCATCTCTGACACAACTCATACATGTTCCAGTGGCTTCGTTAAAAATCATTTTTATATTTGTTAAGATAACTACTCTCTTCAAACTGTATCTACATGTAAGGACTTCAACATGTTATACAGGTCAACAAAGATTTATATTTGGAGTACTTGCTATTACTGCCTTTTTATTATGGATCCAGCCTACCCACCTCGACCACTGTTTTGTCATGTGTGTTTCGAGTAGCACTGCCACTTGAAAAATTCATACATAGCCTACAAAATTCAATATTATGTCCTCCGTTTCCATGGCAACAAGTAGAGATTTAGAATTTAGAATTTTGATTTTTACAGCAGAACCTAAGGTATTATAATATATAACAGTGACACTCCTAAAGCATTTCTCTCAGTAAATAAAGAAATTTTTTTTTTAAAAGTAGCCTTTCAAACTACATGTATATTTCCCTCGCCGGTAAATTTTTTTATCTTTAGGTATTTTACTATTTTCACACCCGTACTCCAGGAAAGATCTACAGTAGCCTTCTCGGACAAGGGCGAAAAGTCTCGGAGGGCCCGCCATGTGCACGTTGCGTACGTTAAAGATCCCTTGGTGGTCTAAAATCGATATGAGTAGGCTTTGGCTGCCCCCCGGGGAAAATTCAAAATTTCCTACCAACTGAAAACGTTTAATGTGTCCCTTGCGCTCATATGACCTTATGCAGTTGCGAGTGCCGTGAGACACTTACCACCCCTCCAAAAAACAAAAACAAACAACAAACAACAACACCCCCCCCCCCAAAAAAAAACACCTATCGGGCAGCGTAAGGGCGAAAACATAGAGAAAGCCGATTTTAGACTGACTCAGGAAGTGCTGGTAGGTATAAAAATTTCCTTATGATTTCCGACTTGCCCCACATAGAGCTAGCAGACTGCAGGCGACTTAAAGCACCGATCGCCGCTGTCGGCTTTATCGGAATCCAAACTACATTCTTATTTCGCCGAAAAACTGGGAAGGGCACCTTGCTAGTTTCAATGCCGTCTGGCCGTCACCAGGTCAGGTTCTGCGGTTTGCGTGACGTCACCCGACTGGATTGGGGACAGTGCCGGAATGAGACCCAGCTGGCCCCAAGGCACACTTCACTGAGTGGCCTGAAAAAGTTAGATATGTTGCAAAATCTCCCCCTTCCCCACCACTTTAACACACACACACACACACACACACACACACACACACACACACACACACGTGGGAGTGGAAATTCAAAACTACACACACATCACACACATGCACGGCTTGTCTGTGCGTGCGTCTGTCTGTCAGCCAGTCCAAAGTATGACAGTATGGAATATGGACAACATACTAATAAGATAATATAACTAAAGTCTCACAACAATAAAGTTATGCATTATTATTTCTTACCTAGATTGCCACTTTGCGTGCTTTTGCAATAGCGGATTCATCAAAGACTTTGTTAATGTCGACGTTGTGCAGTAAATCGCTTTCATCTGAAAGAAGTGCTATCATCCCTGGCCTCTGCTGAGACATGGTTGAACGCTTAACGTCTTTAATGCCTTTCAATTGCGAAAATGAACGTTTGCCAGTGCAGTTAGTTGACATTACAGACAGGTACATCCGCAATGCTATCTCGCGGTCTGGAAAAGCTGAGTGGTATGCAACAGTTTGAAAATGCTCTGAGCGCTTCCAGTTGCATTATCCGGATGTACCTGCTCTTTCACCCAACATAGGCACTGTCTAAATTCCATTGGAAAGTTAGGAGAGAAGTCATGTGGATAGACATTAACAAATGCTGATGTTGCAGCATTGATGTCTTCAGCTGACATTGAATCATGCCCTGTTAAAACACCAAACAGCGGCACTACTGTTGAATAGCGTCAATTCGTCTGCATAGGGCACTTTTCAGTTGGTCCATGATAACCGAGAATGTATTCACTTTGAATTTCTCCTGACCCGACATTTCATCCATCACACTTGTGGCATCTCCGTCATCTACTGCTTTCCTCTGTACACGTTTTCTCCGACTGTCTGATTTATATATGCTGCTTCCACATTGGTCACTTGCCTTGTCATGGTAAGAGTCAAACTTTCCTCGGCACTCATCTGTATATGTGTTTAAACTTTTTAACAATCCAATGGCTGGGCTTAGTTCAATAGTTGAACTTTGTAGCAGTTTACTGCAGCAATTGAAAGGATGTAAAAAGTCATTCCAAAGTTCACACATGAAAGCAACTTCAATGGTGTCCATATACAGTAACTTGCAAGTGCACCAGCTTCGTGCTTCGTGAGACCATTCTGGTCAATATCTTCTGCAATCTCTTGTAGAGCACTTTAATTATTTGTAGCCCCTGAAGACTGTTTCTGTCGCCTCAGCCCGGCAAGACCACCGGGTATCCGATGGGTGTTTTAGGACGAGACATTCAGGATTTTCCTCAACGTGTCCTAATAAAATATTCCAACGATGTGTTGATGCAGCAAAAATGAATACAAGCGCTGCAGGGACTGTAAGAAAGACACAGCTCCCACACAGCAATGTACAGCTGATTCACCAACTAAATTTAAAGAGTGGCCTGTGCACGGAATATAATCCACAAGATTGTTTTTATTTTTCAAAATTGTCTGCATTCCAGTGTATTTACCAGACATATTACTGGCATT